AATAAAAGTTCATCCAGTAAGATGGCCAACTCGTCTTACCCTTCTTACTCCTTCAGATCCTATCACCATCACAATTCCTCAACCTGATCCTCAATTTGCTATAAAACTTCACGGACAAGATTTGACATTCGATCCACCTTTTCTTGATTTCACACATACAAATTCATGTACTTTTACCATAACAGGAGAGACATTAGGATTACATTCCATGGTACTTATTAAGTCTGGAGCACGTTGTCGTAATTATATAAATTTACCATCCACTAAAACAATGTTGGTCGAACGAGCATTTATGAAATGGACATTTAAAATTTCATTTGCCGCTGACAATGGAATAATACGACATTATCTTTTCAGTGCCGATTCACAAGAACATAGACGCGTTTGGGTTGAAACCATAAAAGCTTTAGTAGAAAAATTACTGTCAAATAGTCTTAGTAGTCCTAAGTTTTTAGTTATAGACGATGACGATAAAGAAAAAGAGGAGGAAGAAGAAGATACGCGATTTACAAGGTCACCAGTATCTCAAGTGGATCCAACAAAAGCAGCTGAAGCAGTAGCTTTACGAGTATTGAAAGATGCGTTAATTCCTAGTGAAAATACTATTAGGGAATTTACAAATACTATTAAAGATAGATCAAGTCCAGTTAATAATGCACTGGAAAACATTTCTAACAGCAATCCGACAGTAAGAAATAGTGTAAGAAATAGCGTAAGAAATAGCGTAAGAAACAGTATGTGGAATAATTTGAATCTTGTAAACCCAAATCCACCAGTTAATCCATTTGCATCCTATGCAAAAACTGGAGATGAGATTATTCATATGACTATTCAGAACAGTCTCTTACCATTTCTTCTTGGATTTTTTACCAAGCAATTAGAAACTGATACAAAAAATTCAAATTCATCTAATAACGCCAATACGAACAATATAAATAATGATAGAGAAGAACTTTCATAATTGAAAGATATTTATAGCGAATTAAATTGATATACGTATTTTTTAATACGTTTAAAATTTATAATATTAATCATAATCTTATCACCAATTTGAAAACACTGAATAAAAAAGCATGTTTGCATGCGTAACAATAATGAATTAAAAATCAATTTTCTTTTTTTTTTTATCTCGATAGTAATAAATTCATTAATAAAATTATAAATTATAAAATTCTATTTCTACGATGATTTATGCAATAACCCTAACTCCATACACGTAGATAACGTGCAATAGATATTTTTATTTTAATATTAAAAACTCCCCTTGACTAATATATAATTATAAAAAAAAAAAAAAAAAAAAAGGTTTTATATACAATCAATATTATAAAATTAGATAATTCTGTATAAATAAAGATGCGAAAAAAAAAGTTTTTTTTTTTTTATATTGGTCACTTGATTTTCAATTTTTTTTTATCGATTAAATGACCAATTTATAAAGCCAAAAGGAAAATTTTTAGTGCATCTCATATACGTAACTTTTACACCACCACCATCTAACCCAACCTATTTGTTGATGTTTCAATAACACTATTTGGAGAAAAATCTAAAGAATTTGAAAATATATGGTCAGAAGGTTGTAATCCCATCATATAATTTTCCAAATCATTAAGATTATTAAAATCCATAGGTAAAAATGGAATATTTTCGTTATCATTATACAGAAGTGATGAAACTTCTGGAATGAAGGAATCAATATTTTGAAGAAATAATTCATTATCTACGCTCATTGGGAAATCATTAAATGTAAAACTTGAAGTTGAATTTTCAGAACAAGGAGAGGAAGTTTGTTCATAACTAGTTGGTTGAGCTTCATCAATAGTTGAAGAAACGCGACTAACAACATGTTGTCTCATCGCAGCACTATATTCTTGAATTGAAGTAGGTGTTGCACTTATTTGACTTGGAACCGATGGTGGTGTTGAAGGAGTTTGATGTGAAGTTAAATTGGTATATGTAATTTCATTGAGTGTTGAAGGTTTAAAAAAATGTTCGGCTTCAGAAGAGGCACTAATAGGAGTCGTATTTCCCATTGTAGGTTGATATACAGAACGTCTTTTTTTAGTTGTATGTTTTCCATTAGATACATTATCATCAAAAGCACCATCAAGATTAATATTTCTAGATTTAAGCACACGGCTCATTAAGGTAGAACACTTATCAGCGGCATACCAATAAGGTTTCAAATAATCTAAGCATTTTAGCACCATCCTAAGACCATGTTTAGCAACTTCTTTGAATCGATCATCACCACTAAGAGCATTTATTAAATGCATAGTAGCAGCGGTAAAGAAAAAATAAAGCAAGCATGGCCATGAACGTTGTAACATCCCTTCTTTCATTAAACGATACATGATATGAGAGATGTGATTCGCAGCCTTGGTACATATGGTCAATGATGGAATGGATGAAGGAGTTTTAGATTTTGGACTACGAATATGAGGACGATGTAAAAGAATTTGAGTTGTATAATAGATTAGATGAACGAATAGTTTCTTTTTGTTAATTGGATCACTAAGCACGATAGAAAGATTTGAATAGTCGAATTGAAGTTCTTTTGGTAGTTTTTCTCTCCATTCAGTTAATTCTGCATCCAACGCAGATAACAAACAAGGACCATTACCACCGTTCGTACTATGTCGAGTCTTGATACTATAAACATGAGAAAGCACACGTCCAAGTATTAAACCAATCTTAATCGTCTCAATCCATGCTTCGAAAGAGGGATCACCGGGTATCACTCCATAAGTAGGTAAATCGACGTCGCAATCACTCTCACTAATAGCGAGAGGCTGTGATATAATAGTTTTTATAAAGCAGTATTAGCATATGTCAAACTATTTTAATGCTATTGGACTGGACTGGACTGGACTAGAAATTGGACATAGACATACGTCTGGTCTAAGATATCCTATTAACTTTAAAGAATTCTAAATTTTTTAAAACTTTGAAGATATTTTGAGAACCATCCAATCAAAGCCGATAGAATTTTTTTTTACTTGAATTCTACAAATATGTAGAATTCAATTAAACTTTTTTATCAAATTTGGTCGAATGGTTGTTATATTCATTAAAACTTTTAGAAAAATTTTATTACAATTATTTTATCGTGGTTTTCGAAATGGTTGAAAATGAGTAAAAAAAAATTTTTTTCGAGTATACCTGTATACTCGTATATTGAATTACCTTAGCACATCGTTTGAAAATCGATGCTTATTGTTTCAAACAATAAGTACATATGCATGTAATCAAACATCGAACGTGCTAAGGTAATCCGGTATATGAGTATACGCAATATACAGGTATACTAGTAAAAAAATTTCTTTTACTCACTTCTACCATTTCGAAAACCGCGATAGTAGACATCCTAAATGTTTTTTTTTTTTTGAATAAAGACCCCTTCTCTCTCAAGTCATTTAAAGAACAATAAGAAAAATAAGAAAATTGCATTTATTGGGTCCTCACATTTATTTGGGTCCAGAATTTGAGTTGAATTTAGAATATCGTAATGACCTAAACAACTACTAAACCAAATTCAATGAAATTTTTATTTGAATTTACAGATATAAAGAATTCAAATAACAATTTTCATTGAATTAATCAAAGTTATATTCTATGCGATTTTAGTTAACATGTAGCTAGTATACATTAGTATATTACATGATTCTATGCCAAATAACATCTAGTCCAATGCACTAATCTAATAATTTAACAATCAAGGTTGAAATAAAGATATCAGATAAATATCAGGTTCTGATTTTTGATATCGGGAATCGATAGAGCTAGCAGGTATCTGATAGTTTACTGATAGCTCTAACGATAGGCGCCAAAAATCAAAAATCAGAACCTTAAATTTTAATAATATTTATCTGATATACTTTATTTCAATCTATGAAAAGGCAGTCCAATGCAGCAATAAAGTATAGAAAAATAAAATTTTTTACATACCCGACCTAATGCAGCGCTTATTAATCTATCAGACACAACACAGGCCCACCATACACGCTTTCTAATTTCAATTTGTCTTGCGTCAAGGCCATGAAGATTCCATTTTGATACATCACGATGTAATCCCATATCTTGAGCGAGACGAATAGCTAAACCATGATACAACCATGTAGAAGAATTTTTTTCACCTTGTTGATGACCAGCTAATAGTATAAGTGCTTGAATATTTGGTATAGTTGCATTATCGAATTCATCTCTAAGCAAATCTCTTACACGTTCAGCGTAAGCACCACCTTTCATATAATAAATATTTAATAAGAAACATTATTATATATTGATAATATTTTAC